GTGAAGAGACTAGGCCAAATGGGCCCTACCCCATTAGTGTCTTTCTTATTAGTTCTTTCATGTTATGTTTTCTTATTGGGCCTTTTCTTTATGGGCCTTTAGCTCCTTTTATCTTTTTCCATGTTTAGTGCTGATGTGGACGCCTACTTAAGGGCCTCCTTATAATTTATGTAACTTAAGTAAGTTTTATAAAAGATTAGAATAGGGGAAAGAGGAGATATTAGAACACCTCCTTTCTTTCTCCTTTCTTCTCCAATCTTCCTCCTTGTTGTTTCCTTCTTCTCTGACTTGTTTTGCTTTATTCTGAAATATTCAACTGATTTTATTAGTTTGAATCACATCTTTATAGTTTATACTTTAGAGTTTAGAGTTTAGACTTTATAATAGAAATTAGAACTTTAGATTGCATTGTCATACTCGTATCTTAACTCTCAACTCTTGAAAATTTAGATTGTATTGTTTTCGTATTTTTTCTGATTTGTTTTTAATTTTTATATAGTTTTTCAACTTTTTTTTACATTTCCTGAAAATTTTGTGTCTTTTTGGAAAAGGCTCTCAAATTGGCCCCTGCGCCTTTTTTGCACCTTGCGCTTTTAAAACACTGTTTCTTCCTAGCTAAAAGAGGTTTGAGGCAAGGAGATCCTCTATCCCCTTTCTTGTTCACCCTCATTGCAGAGGTCTTGAGTAAATTGATCACTAAGGCTGATCTTGAAAATCAATTCAAAGGGTCGAGAATTAGAAGAAATGAGGTTGTTGTGACTCATCACTCATCTGCAATTTGCTGATGACATAATCATTTTTGGTGTTTTAAAAGGTGTGGGAGGTATACGCCTAGAGGTGCGCTCCCAAAACACCCTGAGGCGTATGCCAGAGGCGCTGACACCTCTGAGGCGTACACCTTGGGTGCAAGAGGCATACGCCTCGTGCACTTTTTTCATGAGGCGTGCTAGAGGCCTGTGCCTCATGCACCTCATGCAAATCTTGTATAAAAAGACAAAAAAAAAGAAAAAAGAAAAAAAAAAGGAAAGGAAAGGAAAAGAAAGGAAAGGGAAAAAAAAGAAAGAGAAGAAAAAAAAAAGAGAAAGGAAAAGGAAAGAGAAGGGAAGAAAAGATAAGGGGAAAGAAAGTGGTTTGCCCCCTGCCCCTTCGGCTGGGGGGCTTCGCCCTCCAAACTCCCTTGCTCCCTTTTCGATACAGCCCAATTTGTTTTTTGGAGTTAGGGGGGTCTTGTTCCGCTCTGGTGAGTGAGCGAAGCAAGCTCGCCTCCGCTTCAACAAGACCCCCCCCTTTTCAACTAATGTTATGCATCTTTATTCTTCTTAATATAAAAGATCTTTATTAAAATTAAAGAAAAAATGAGATCCCCCCTTCCTCTTCATCCTCCTCCCCTTCCTCCTCCTAACCCCCCTCCTCTTAAGGAGGCTTATGCCTCCTTGTGTTCGGGAGGCTTACGCCTCTTGCGTTCTAAACTACACCCCACGCCTCTAGGTAGTGGAACGCCTTGCGTCACGCCTCCGCGTTCTAAAACATTGATCATTTTTTGTAAGAGTTGTACAGAGTTCAGCATAAGGAATTTGAAAGCCTTAGTTGACCAGCTCCAAAAAATATGAAACTTCAAAGTCAATTGAGGAAAAAGTTGTGTGGCTGGGATAAATTTGGGAGAGGACTACATTTTATTGTTGGCTAAAATCCTAGGCTGTGAGGTGAGAACTTGGCCCCTAGAATATCTAGTTATGCCATTGGGAGGAAAACCTAGAGTAGATAGTTTCTGGAAACCAATAGTGGAAAGATTTGCTAAAAAGTTAGCCTTGTGGAAGAGAAACTATATCTATTTAGGGGGAAGAATTATGTTAATCAAATCCACCCTAGCAAATTTGCCCACATATTACCTTTCCACCATTAGAATCCCAATGAAAATTGAAAAGCAGTTAGAAAAAATGAAGGATTTTTTGTGGGATCCAGGAGATGAAAAGAAAGAACATTTGGTGAAGTAGGAACAGGTGTGTAAACCTAAGGAGCGAGGAGGCTTGGGAATTGGAAACCTGATTAAGAGGAACACAACTCTTCTAGGAAAGTAGTTGTGGAGATTTCCCTTAGAAGAAGACAGATTGTGGCACAAGATCATTGAAAGTATTCATGGTAGCAGAAAATGATTGGGATGCAAAACTAGCACCTCACACTACTTCAATTTCCCCTTGGAGGGCAATCGCTGAGGTACTCTACCTACCTTTCTCAATTTTATCTGTTTTGATGTGGGATGTGGGAATAAAGTCTTATTTTGGGAAGACCTCTGGCTTGGGGATTTTCCACCCAAACTACAATTCCTAGCACCATACTCATTAACAAACCTCAAGAATAAAGCGATTTCTAGGTTTGGTAGGCCTTCAACACTTGGTTTAAACTGGGATTTTGGGTTCAGGAGGGGATTGATGGACAATGAATGTGAATCCCTTATCCTCCTACTTTCTCTCTTGGAAAAGGTTTTCTTGGATCAAAATCTTTTGGATGGTAGAGTTTGGTACCCCTCCCCTGATGGTCACTTCTCCTGTGCTTCCTTCTTTAACCTTCTTATTAGCTCAAAACCCACAGGGATAAATCTCCTGATGAGAGAAACTTGGTGCAAACCAATCCCTCCTAAAGTGTAGGCTCTATGTTGGAAAAGCTTCCTTGGGAAGATAAACACTTGTGATGACAGAAAAAAAAAGGGCAAATAATTGCCTTTCCTTCATGTGTGCCTCCTTTGCAAGGCCAGTAGTGAGACCCTTCCTCATTTAGTACTCTCCTGTTCATTTGTGACTTGTATTTGGGACTATTTCTGCTCTCTTTTAGGTTGCAGATGGGTACCCCCACAAGATGTGGTTAGCCTATTCAACTCCAGCTTCTTGAGGCAACAAAAGAAAAGGGGAAGATGTCTATGGAGAATAACAAGAGCAGCCTTGATATGGACCATCTAGGAAGAGAGAAACCAAAGAATCTTCCATGACAAGAGATCAAATGGAAGAAGCGATTGAATCCATAAGGATTAGAACTGCACATTGGGCAAAAACAATGGAACTTTTCAGAGATATTTCTATAAAATGGCATATTATGGAAATGGACCGAAGTGGCACAAACATTTACATACAAAGGAGTAGTGAGAATGGAATGGAAACCTCCAAGGCCAAATAAACTAAAACTAAATTTTGATGGAAGCTCCTTTGGCAATCTAAGGAGGGCGGTTATAGGGGAGTCTTCAGAAACCATCAAGGAGTAGTAGTGGCCTTATTCTCTGGGCCAATTGGATTTGGAGATTCGGTTAAGGCTGAGATAATGCACTCTTACAAGGACTAAAACTAGTAAAATATCTGGGTGTTAGAGAATTCGAAGTAGGAGACTCCTTATTGGTTATTTCTTGGGCAAAACAAATCAATTCAGCCCCTTGGAAATATATTTTCCTTCAAGGAAATTGACTCCCTTGCAAAAAGTTGTAACAATAGCTTTGGATGGGTAAAAAGAACAGTAAATGGGATGGCAAATGTCCTAGAAAAACAGGGAGTGGACGGATCCACTTTATTTTGGGCAATGTTGTAATTTGTGATAGTAAAAAGGGAGGGATGGAAAAAATTAGGGTGGCCAAGCTGTTTTCTATTGTTTTTGGGCTACTATGCAGTAAATCCATGTAACCTTTTCAATCATTAATAAATGAACTCATTTTGCTAATAAAAAAAACTATATATATATATATATCAATTAAATGGACCTTAATGAATAGTTGCCATGTAGTCTCTCTACCAATAATATCTAACATTAGGAATTTGTAAAGAACCTCTTCCCCTAATCTCAAAGCCCAATGTCATACTCTCTTCAATCATGGAACCTGGGAAAATAATTTGTAAACCATTTTCAAAATAAACTTTATTTATAATATAATATATTTTTCAAATTGATTTCAAAACACTTGAAACCCATTGCCAGCAATTTGGTAGTTTCTATCAAATATAGTATGTCAGGGATATTCTCTTTGTTTGACAAAGTGGTAAATCCTATCACAATGAACACTAGTCCAGATTTCACCCTAATTTGCTCCAGCATACCCAAGTATTGGCCCCAAAATAACCTCACTAGTTGGCAAATGAAAAGCAGACTAGTCCAATAACCCAACATACATTATGAAGTCTAAGGACTACATGTGATAATCCAACTACTCCACTAATGGAAAGGCCCAGGAGCACAATGGAAATGATCTGGTTAGTGTTTCATAAACACCCATGCTTATAGCTTGGGTCTAACCCTTGTATCTGAGACAAACTATTCCACTCTTGGGCAGTATGAGTCATGTCAGTCTTATCAGGATGAATTGCCCAAGTTTATCCATCAATTGAGAACATTTGGTCTACATACCAATTATGAATGTCTCTAATCATGATTTTATAACGTAGAACAAGAGCTATTCTGAAAAAACATACTCAATAACACATGTAACAAACCAATAAACTAAACTTTTATTCAAAATAAAATCAGTCTACACCATGAATTGGATCCTGAGGACATACACTGTCTAACACCAACAGAGAACTCCCCCCCCCCCAACTCGGTAAGAAAAGGAACACCTAGAAAGAAAATCAATCTAACAATGGAAGCCTACTAACACCAATTGATCTCTTCTATGTGCAGTTTAGAGCCAAACAAAAACTCAAACCCAGGCAAAAAATTACAATTGGAAGATGCCAAACAGTTGTTGAGTCCTATAGCTATAAATCTGTTTAACAATGTGGAATTTTTATGCAAAGACTAAATGCATGTGCAAAAACCTTGTCATATTATTTTTAATCAAAAGTACCTAAAATAAATTGATCTGAAATATTACTTTTTATAGGTACTTTGCTAAAACTTGGCTTGTTCTCTTTTTTTTTTTTGTCGACTTAATGCTTTGTTGACAAATATTTGTTCAAATATTAACAAACAATAAGAATACAAACTAGGAAATTTTCATAAACATTAAGCTTAGAATATAAACCAACCTGGATCAAGTGGAAAGAAAAGACCATAAGGCTCCAGGTACTCATTAAGCTCCATCCATCCAATCCCAGGTTCAACAACTACATCCATGTCCTCAATGTGTAGTGACTTAACAGTCTGTCACAAAAAGGAAATGTAATGAAAAGATAATTAAGTTGAAGGTTAAAAATAAAAAGTTGCCATGTTTAGAATAAAGTATATTAGTGCCACAAAATCAAGCTCAAGTTATAACCAATCAGATGAACAAAATCTTCAGCTTAACAAATTCTATTCAAATTTAAATTTTAGTAATCTTAGAAAACAGATTGATAGTAGAAGGGGGGAAAGGAAACATAAGAGAAATTCCATTGGAGAAAAGGGAATAGGCCTATGACGCCCAATTTCCATCTTAATTATAAGAAAAAGATTATATAGAAAGGAAATAACAACCCTGATCCATTACGAAATCACCCACATGCAATTCCACACGGTAAAACTCCCCATAAGCTGGTTCAGATATATCAAACATGCCTAGCTTGCTAAGTACCTGAACCAATTGAGGCTTCCCAACTTTCTGCAGGATTAAGGGATTCCTTTCTGTTGCTCATATTGTATCCTATGGAGATGGACTGACATAACCACTTCTACCAAGCTCTAAAGAATTTATATGTACTGGCTGATATGGGCCAATATGTATTGGTTTTTGAGGTTACAGATACATGACATGGGTGAAATGGTTGAAACTCAACTCCATCCTCTTGTCTTCATGCACTTCTCATAATGGCTTAGCTGAACAGCATCATTGCCATATCATTGAAATGGGGCTCACACTACTAACCCAATCCTATATACCCACTAAGTACAGATTTCACAACCTGGCAACATTAATACCAGTGATATTCTGCCAAGAAAAACATATCACTGACTTATTTCTCCAAGGCAGTGCATCATGTGCAAATTGAATGGTGAGACTGCCTTCCATCTTCTAATTGTAAGACAATGTATGCCCTCAGCTCCAATTAGACTGATGTAATCTGATATTTATTATTCAATGAATCAGAACATTGTTATTTCATGTGTTTTAGTAATGTTTCTATGATTTACCTCTTAAGCTGGACATTTATGACACTTATGCTAACTTAGAATGTTCTCAGCCATTTGATAAACTTGGGGAGTTTATCATGTCAAGGCTGACACTATTGTACTACCGAATTAATTGGCAGTATATCTCAACTGCTAGGGTTAGACCTGAGGTACAATGAGTGGGTGTTTGTTTAGTAAAATACTAAAGAGGGACCATTTCCAATTATGCCCTGAACCTTGGAGATAGATGGGCAAAGATGAAAAGTTGCACTTGACCCAAAAACTTGATAGCGGTACTCCACTAAGGTTGGACTGGACTGCTTTTAATATACCAAACAAGGTTCAAAATATCAATACAGGCCAATACAACGGTAGGGCGTATCGGCCTGTATCGGTGCTTTTTTCTCTTTTTTTTCTTCGAATCTGGTTCAAGGGGATTGGTTTAAGGCCCGTCTACCCTCTGAACCACTGTCTGACACAAAACACCCCCTGTAGGAGCATATCGTGAAGGCCCCGATACATATCAAAATTTTGAACCTTCATACCAAACAATGAGATCCACTTGGGCCTCATCCGCATCTTGGTAAATGACTCACCTGAGTAAATGCACTTATCCGGGCAAGTGTTTCTTGGGAAGCACTTATCCGAATAAGAAACTTATCAATGTTCTTTTATTTCCAGGTAAAGGTGTACAATGATGATTTATCCAAAAAAAAAAGTGACATTATTGAAGGGACAATATTGTCCCATCACATATTAGCAATTTTCAGCATGCATGGGAGAGTAATTTATCTAAGTCTGACGAGAGTATTACTTCTCTAAGTAAATGAGCTACTCAAGAATCTTCGTTTTCATGGGACCCACTAATACAAGAAAACGAACATGGGTTTATTTCTTTTCCGTAGGACCTACCAATTTACCCGCCCCTACTTCCCAAAAAACTAATGAGGCCTTAGGGTCAAATACCTAGGTATGTTGGAGCAGTTTGGAATAGCATTAGACTAGGTGATACTTGTGATCAGATCACTCACTTTGTCAGTCAAAGAGAATATCCAAGTATACAATCTCTCATGGAAACCTAAAACTGTCACAGTGGGGTTTTAATCCCAGGATCCATCTGAGTTGATAGTCTGACACTATATCTTACAATCAAGGAAGAGGTCCTTCCTTGTGGATAGTGTACTGATATTATTGGTTGAAAGGTTGAAAGCAAGTCTCTACTTACGATGAAACCTGATGAGCACTTTTCTCAAGTTAAACCATTGGGCTTGGGTTCATAAGATGGCTGAAACCTAAGCTCCACTTATATTTAAGTTTTGGCCAAATTTAAGCCCAATAAGATTGGGGCAGTTCACTAGGTCACACTAGTCAATTCGGCCCATATGTTTTGATATTTCGGCCGAACCCATGTGGCTTAACTTGGGAGCTTAGTCAATCCCACGCCATACAAGGTTTAGGTCAAATAGACTAGTCAAAGGTGTGAAATAAAAGGATTACTTAAGAGGTCTAATCTGTTTCCAAGAAGACTACTTTAACTAGTTACTTGCCTAGTTTGACTAGGAAGTTGGATAGTTGGATATTATGGGTCAAACTAGGAAAGGTATTTATTCTCTTGATCCTAACTTAACAACTAGGATTATTTTGACTAGAAAACATCTAATTCAGTTAGAAGTCTAATTAGGAAACTCTTTTTAGGATTCTAAAAGTCAAGCTATATAAGATAGAGTATAGGAGAATTGAGAGACACATTAACATCAAGAATTGTTCTCCCAAACCCTAGTTCAACCAAGGCTGAAAAGAGACGTTTTTCTCTCTTCTCTTTGAGTTTTTCCAATAAGAACACAGACCTTTTGAGTGATCAACATCTGCATTCAACTAGAGAATTGACGTGCACATTGATTCACACAATTGACTAGGATCAAACTCTGCAATTTAGGGCTATGCCATCTTCAGTTTGGAGTTCAACTTTGGTTGAATCCTTGGGCGTGTTACACCACATTGGGAGCTGCATTTGTGGCATCCGGATCAGACATCATTCTACCCCTCTCTGAAACAAAATTTGATGGTTATTCTAGTCCAATCCCAGGAGAGAAATTGTTCTCTCATGGAAATTAGATTTCTACCTTTCTTGGGCTGATTCAAGATTTAAAATTCCCACCTTTCTACCTAGAAAGGTTCAACTCAAGCTTTATCCATTTTCCCATCGTGTCCACTGTCTAATATAGAAATCTCTTGTCTCATCTGAGTTACTTTCTTTATATTTCTCCCTTTCTTTTTTAATCCCGTTCAACCTGGCAAAAACGTTTGAAACTTGCCTTTTTTGATTGGTTTTCTATCTTCTAAATCTTATTACTGTGTTAGGGCATTTCTCCACCCTATAAAATCCTGGTTAAAACTCATTATATACCCTTTCAAACACTCACCCCGTAGGAGTTGGAGACCTCCCTTTGTTTCCACCCAAATCTTACCACCCCGTACTTCCCTACCACCACTCTTCTCCATAATGAATCCCTTTCCTTTCCTATCCCAAATCTCCATAACCATTTGCCCATAAGAGCTTTATTGAACACTTTTATTCTTCTGAACCCCAGCCCTCCCAAAGCTTTCAGCCTGCAGATCTTCTCCCACTTTATTAGATGAAACTTTCTTGGACCCTTTGTCCCTTCCCAAAGGAAATCTCTCTGAGTTTTTTTCTATCTTATTGGCTACAGAAGTTGGTATTTTCAGCAATGAGAGGTAATAAGTAGGTAGACTTTGAAGCACACAATTTAAATGCTTACAGCCTTTACTTCTAAATAGTTTCATTTGTTACTTGTAATGAAAAGGCAATAATAGCAATAATGATAAATTGAAATCATACAGGTAACACATGATAATGTGTAGGCCAATTTTACTTGAAAAAAATACCTTCATCAATGTCATGTCAATGCATACACCTCCATTCGGAGACAAGGTGTGACCCTCAATTGATGTAGCCCCTCCATATGGCACAATAGGAACCTGCTACTATAAGAAACAGAACCAATTTAGAACTTTTCAAGAAGTCGGACCTAATATGATTTGTTAGTCAGAATTTATGCACTGGGTGTTGAGCAACGTTAACCATGATAAAGAGCATATTCAAATTAGGAAATGAGAACTTTTGAAGACAAAAGGAGAAGTGCATACTTTTGAATGGAGAAAAGAGAAATGGCATATCTGCAAATATTACCAAGAAAAAAAGAAACTCGCACCTTATGATTGTTACATGATATGACAATCTTGGACACTTCCTCTTCAGACCTGTATATTCAATTAATAAATTATGAAACTCTCACAGAAAAGTAAATATACACATTGGATACCTACAACTTTTGGTTACATAACAAGGGAGTACAGGGAAGAAACACAGAATTATTGTACAGTAAATGCGCAGTTCCAATGGATTGCCAGCAACATAAAGGTAATAGTGAATGATCTAGCTAGATTGGGCATTGAGAGGGCATTTCTGCATAGTGACAGGTGTTTTCCAGATAAAATTGTATAGAATATGAACTCAGGAAAGTAGATTTTGTAGGGCATCCTTCTTCTCTTCCTTTTTACGTGTGTGGCAATAGGAAGGGGGCAACCTTCAAACTCCAACTCCAAAATAAGAGAATACCTTAATTCTCTTTAAATATCTTAAATGCTGCAAAATAGTATACTTTAGAGAAGGAACCATCCTACGTGACAGACAAATCTGATTTGTCAACTAAAATTGGGATAGAGAGACATCGATTGCATAGTTATAAACAGTTATAGCTCCTGAAATATTGTATGAAGCAGAGCATTGGGCAGTCATAAAAGATCATGAACATAAAATGGGGCAGTCATAATATGATGATACTTATCAAAAATAACAACAACAATAATAATACTGATAATAAAAACAACAATAACAATAACAATAATAAGTATTTTTTGATAATGAAACTACCCCTAAGTTTTAGGAAATGGACTAAAACTTCCCCTACTGTTTGCAAAATCCCTTAAAGTGTCCCTAGGTTTTCTGCCAATTGGCATTGTCACTAAACATTAACGGAAAATATTGAAGCGTCTTACCCTTCATTCTTCAAATTTTCAAATACATACCATACCTTTGACGGTGTGGCAAAAGCAAGCCGATCCAAAATATTTGCAATAACATGATTTATATCTATTAAAATCTATTCTTAAGCAGTCCAATCATTTTTTTTTTTGAACCTCTAACTGTCCTATGGCCAGAAAAGGAAAAAAAACAGCATCAATTACAGAAAAAATGAATAGGAAATGCAAGGTTGGATTCAATCCTCACAAGATCGTGCTCACACCGATCTCACAGCCCTTTACAGCTGCAAGGGACTGTGCACAGTGTGAGCACAGTCTTGTGAGGACCAAATCCGATTTCAGGAAATGCATACTTAGAATCGTAATCCAAGAAGAATCAATGGAGTATTCTTTTCCTTTTGCTAATATGGCCCTATTCTCAGCCATTTCAAGAACTTCCAAAGATTACGCCCAATTGAATATGCTTTTTTGTCTGCATCTAATGAGGCAGTATCATCAACCATTATTCTAACCTAGAACTATGGCAACTGCCATTATCATCTGCATATAATTAATATCCCAAGCTGTCACGACCATCAACTGCAACTTATGATTCAGCCAACACATCAATTGGCCCTGAAATTCCTAATGGAACCTATGTTTCAAAAGATACAAATAGCAATGGCTCTTCAAATTCTGAGTCAAGATGAAAATGCCATCAATTGAATGCATCCTTACCAAGAATCTTAATGGCAAAGTTCTCTTCTATCTCCACATTGCAACAATTTTCACCTTCAAAAATGTTCCCTCACCCAATGTCCGAACCAGCTCATGCTTAGAGGTGTAAATTGGGCATGCGGCCCGTGCAGAGTGTGGGCCATGCAGTGCTGGCCCGCGGGCCGAGTCGGGCCATGCTTCCCTCCCCTAGGATGTTTTGGGGAGTCAGCCCGACGCGGCCCATGGTCCAAGCCCGTGTCATGCCATGCCATGTCATAGGCCAAGCCGGGCCGCAGACCGGGCCAAGCCATGCTTTTTAAAATTTTTGAAAAAATAATAAAATTTTTAACATAAATTAAAAATATACACAAAAAATAAAAAAAAAAAAGATCTTAAAATTTTATTTTATATGAGCTTTGATGTATACAATTGTTTATGTATGCAATAATATAATAAAATTGAAAATAAAATTATATATATTAATGTATTATATAATTATTATATATAATATATACATATTATATTATATATAATATATATATGGGCCATGTTTGGCTGTGCCGGACTAGGCCACGAGCAGCATGGCCTGCTCAGTCGTGTCGTGTCGTGTCGTGTCGTGCCAGCCCATGGGCCTGAAATCCCAGGCTCAGCACGGCCCATACGATCATGTCGTGCCTGGCATGGCACACAATCCGTCGTGCCGGGCCGACTCAAAATCGTGCCAAGCCACGAGCGGCACGACCCGATTTACACCTCTACTTGTACTTCCCAATGTGAGTTCGGCTGCCACGAGCCAGAGCACCATCTCATCTATGACAGTGTAAAACACATATTTGCTTTCTTCATCAGCGGTATCAATCCTCTCCTTGGAAAGCATTATGATTGGAATCCTTGTAAATAAGGTGTGATAATTGCTATGTTACCAGCGAAAACATATTTTGTTATGAAATAATCAAACAAGAAGTAAGTGGCAAAGAGCATGTTGTTTTTACCTTCTACATATTTAATGAGCCTCTGGCCATGTCTCACCTTAATCAAGCTCAAAGTTGCCACTGCCACCAGCAATGTCCCACCTTGCTTGACCTTTCGTATGAGCAGTTGGGATCAAAGTTGTTAAGTTTTGCAATTTCTCGGAAATCCAAGGATGGAGCTCAGAGTGATTCCTTTAAGTTGACAACTTCGCGTAGCGCAACAGCTAGTTGGGGGGAGATTGGAAGGGCCAAGTTATGGTTGAAGGTGGGTTGAAGAACTTTTGTTACCATTGATAGATAAAGGGCAAATTTGGGTTTTACAAAAGTTACAACAGTCACATGCAATCACATGGTATGGGTGCTTCATAAATCCAAACATGTGTTTTGGAATGATCCAAACCCTCCAAAGATTTATCCAACTATATGGGGTCAGCTACATGCATAACGTTCTGAAAATCAGCCAAAAATATTTCTGACACCCAGCAGCAAGAGATACAACCATCAATACATGCAATGCTGTGGTTACAACATTTTTGGTCATCATTGAATCTACTACATAGTGAATGATTGGAATTTCCAGACTGATGACCAGCTCTGCCATGTGATGACCACAGAGAGAATTCCTTTTTCTACATTAGGAGGAATCATTATATTCATTTCTCAATGCAAATAAGAGTGCAGAAGCAGAACTATTGAGGATCTGCTGGTGAAATTCAAAATACTCTAAATGCAGGCCTTCAGATGTAGAAAATAAATTGTATCCAATAAAACAAGAATCTAACTATTAGATATCTGATCAATAAACTATTCAATAATTTTTTTTATCAGTGAATTGTAAGATTTACTAATTCAATAATTAATTGTAAGATTTATTAATTCAATAATTACAGACACATTAATGTACAATATTAACAGAGGAACCCCAAAGTATCAGAAAGGTGAAACTAACAAACCAATCAAGTGTTATTAAACAGAAGAATGAAGCACACCTTGGAAAAACAACCACGTCCGGTATATTCACAGCTTTGTGAAAGCTGTTCTGAGGTTTCCCGTGAAAGTATCTCTCGTCGTAATCCAATGTCAAGTTTTCCTGTACAATTTGAGCTCCCAATTAAAATCCCGCCTTTCAATCAAAACGTTGAAGCCAGAAAGAATCCACAACAAGTTCACCAATGAAATTAGAAAGGGGAAAAAAAGTAAAAACACAGCACATCAAATATTCAAGGATTAGACGCATTGATGAATTATAAAATTTTGAGATGAACTCTGAAGATACACAGCTGCATTACCCCACATATGGCCTTCAGTTCTTCAATAAGTTCTTGGGGGACATCCTTGTGAGTACCTTTCACGACAAGTTCGGTGCTACTTTTGCCCCCAACTGTGCCACCTCTGAAACCCAACAACCGAGAAGAATTAAGATTAACCAATCAGTCACTTCTAGAATCATTTCTACTCAAACACTAATATCATGTCTAACATCCATAACTAATGACTTCAAGTGGCAGTCATCAATCAAGTAAGATAGAAACGAATACTCTTGAAAACGAACAATAAATGAGCTCATAATTCAACAATGGATATGGCACTGAACAGAATGGAACGGCGAAACAGGATTCCTTGGTTGCTTTGATCATCTTCAGACGACCTGGAAAAGTTACGCACCGGTAATCATCGGCACCGGCAGCGATATCGCACATCGAAGGGTTTCTTTGGAAGTCCAGGGTAAGTGATCCAGCCGAAACCGCAATGGCCAGAGGAAGAAGAGAGCTTGACCATGACCGGAGTGGCCTCCTCCCCTCCAAAGCCAGGACCTCAGCAAGGTATGTGTTCTGCGAGCGACAATTGTGGATTGAAGAGCTCTGGAGAATCCTGTACATGTTCTTCGAAGAAGAACGGAAACGAGAGAACCAGGAAGAGAACGCCATGACAGAAACAGAAGAAGCAGCTCAATTTTTAGACGCGAGGTATGGTGCGCCATCCGATTTGTAGAATAGTAAAAAAACGTCAAAAAATTGGTCCTCACACGACCACACCCACTCAACAACATTTGCAGCCGTGCAATTTGAACATGTTCGCAATGCACGGCTGCAAAGGTTGTCGAGAGGGTTGGAGCACCGTTTGTTTGATGGTGTCAAACGGCCCGACACGGCACGACGCGAACCGTCCACGTGCCATGGTACCATGCCGTCGTGCCAAACACGACTCGCACGTCCCTTAGGCCGGGCTGGGCCTCTGGGCTAAGAACCATGGACCGGCAGGGCACATGTGCAAGTTAGAGGTGCAACTTGGACGGGCCCGATCTGAGCCCAGCTTACTCAATTCAAAATTTTCCATGCATTGAGCTTGAATTTTTCAACTCTCGAGTTAGGAAACGGTCTGATTTCGGCTTTTTTTAATCTTTCAACCTTAAGTACCATGCATATATATATATATATGGAGATACATATATGCATACTTATTTGTATAAATAAATGCATACATACATGTTTAATTTTAGAGTTATTGACCAACCCAAGCCCCGGCTCGAGTCCAAACCAAATGCATAAAATTATAGTGTGGGTTAGGCTTAAATTGGGAAGATCAATTTAACTTAAAACTCAAGCCTTAGGCCCAAATTATAGGGTTGGGTTTGGGTTAACCATTAACCAGGTCCAATCCACCGAACTCGCACCTCCTATTACAAATAAAGAGTAAAGATATAAGTTGGCATTGTATATCAATTTTTACTTTTATCACTTTTATCAAAACTATAATTGAGAAAAAAAAAACAAGAAAAATCACGGTTTCATAAACTTGGGAAAATGCAAAGGAATGAGGGAAAAAAAAGTGGTTAGAAGTAAATAGCATGTCATTGTTTGTGAGAGCACACCTTTATGCACTATGGCTAGTAATCGAGTTATTATGATTATAATGCAGTGAGTAACAGCAATCAAGCTATGAACTGCAATCCGTAAGCCAAAAGGCTCCAATGAGATATTGATGGTGGTCTGACTCTAATGATCTAGAAGAAGATGGTAGTGCTAAGGTCAATGGAAGATAGAGAGGAAGAGGGTCCCCATATGGGTTTGGGGCCTATTTGTAGTACTGGGACCTCCTTTTTCTAGAATATTTTCATATTTTCCTCTTTGCCCATTTTTTCCTTGTGTGCTTAACTAATGCATATGCCCTTTAATTACCACTCTAAAATATTCTTAAATGTCATTATTCTACAAAGTCATAACTCTTGAATTGTTTGTAAATAACTAGTAGTTAAATGGCTTGACCCAGTTTTATGTCAGGTTGGACAGGTTAATGTTATTATATAAATCCACCAACTCATATTAGCCCATTCTTTAAAAATGGGTGAAGGCCATTGTTAAACAAAAATTGGGTTATGTGTTTTAACTATTGTATTTAGGTATAAGCCCCAATTTTGAGGGTGTATTCCTTTTTTGGATTTTGAGAGAGGGGGAAGGTTGGTTCCCATTGACCAAGAGTCTCATGTTCTTTTTTTAGATTTATGTGGAGATCAGGGAAAGTTTATTTTCCTAGGTATCACTTACCCCATCTCATAGGTGGGTAAATAGCTTTTCGATCTAGGGGAAAGTTGCCAACACTTGAATGGGGAAAATGCCCCTTTTAATAATGGACTTTTATGGCTAAAATGGCCATTGCCTTATTTACATGAGAAATACTTACTCGGGTAAGTGTTTCCTAGGAAAGACCTACCTAAATAAGTGCATTTACCTGGGTAAGTAACTTACCAAAAAACAAACGGGGCCTAAGAGTGAAGTTATAGAACAATATGTTTAAAATCAAATATTTCGTTGAAGAATTTTTGTTACAATATTACTCCCCAAAATTCTAAAACAATTTGGCTCTAAAGAAATTTTGAAAGATTAACCCTCAAAATTCTAAAAATGTTTTAGAAAGATTAGCCCTTAAATGTGTAAGGAATTTTTAGAAAGATCAACCCACAAAATTCTAAAGATATTTTTGCAAACAAAATGAGAAGATATCAGTATGTAGCCACAAGGCTAGTTCTTAATGCAAGGTGGGGACAAGCATGTGAGTTGTCATTTTGCATTTTTATGACATGACTACATGGTTCCATTTATTGTAGTGAGTATGTAAAATATGAGCTCATGATCAATGTATAAGTATATAAATCATAAGTATGTAGGTTTGTAATTTTTTAGGTTCAGGCTTAAATGCATGAATCATAAGTATATGCATTTATAAGCTTATAAGTTTGAACTGCCTATTATAAGTATTAAACATCCATATGTGTTTAGGAGCTTCAACTATGAGGACACATGAACTATTGGTTATGAGTTGTATAAATCATGTGCATAGACACCCCATTTTTCTCTTTTTAGTTTTTTTACAGCACTTCGAGCTTCAAGCATGCTTCATCTACCTCTCATCCAATTCATGGGTATAATTGAATTTTTAAAAATGTTTGGACCTCAAGGATCTGAGGACATAGGTATGTAGAGCCTAAAATTTTAAATCCAATGACACCAAGATCACCCAAATCCAATACAGTTTACCCCTTCATCTTAAGACCCAAAGTTGGAACCAATTTTGATCATCTGATTGGAGTCATTTTTTATTTTGAACCTCATTTCACATCAAATCATAAAATCAGAGACCATAAGTACGTAGAACCCAAAATTCCAAACCCGACGACACCAAGATTACCCAAATCCGACACCATTTAACCCTTCATCTTAAGACCCGAAGCTAAAACCAATTATGGTCATCCAATCAAATCACCCAGATCCAACATTGTTTACCCCTTCATCTCAAGACTTGAAGTTGGAACCAATTCAAATCGTCGAATCAGGATCATTTTTTATCTTGAACCCTATGCCACGTGAAAGCTGAAATCCAACCTTATAGATGGATAAAATTGAAATTATGAGTTCAGCGGTACCAAGATAATCCAATTCTGACACTGTGAATCACTCGGTCTTCAATCCCGAAACTAGACGCGATCTGGGCCTTCCATTTGAAATCTTCTTCACTACAACTTCGAACTTAGGGCATCCCATGACCTGATTTTTTTCCCAACCTCTAGAACCATCTTAAAAATTTAAAATTTAACCAACTAATGAGCCTCTAATCAATCAAGCCAATCACCTAAACTTGGAATGTCCAATTTAAGTAAATTGGTGAAATTTTCCTCTTATGGTCTTAATTAATTGAGTGGATCTCTCCCAAAGTTGTCTTGACGGCCTATTCCCTCAATCAATGTCCCTCCAAAAACTCTTTAACCTCAGTCATTGATCGATCTCCCTAGTCTACCAATCTCAGCCCTCTATTCTCTTCTAGAATCCTCCTCAAAAATTTATAAATACCCCTATTCCTCACACAAAAATACACAATCTAACTTAGAGAGAGAACTCATAGTGGCACATTCTAGCCTAGGGAGAGAACTACACACATTCTATCATAGGGGAAACCCATGCAAAGACACTCATACAGCCATTAGCTATGTCCTTAAGCTCCCTCTCTCCCATCCACATTCTACACTTTAAGACGACTCTTCTGTTCAACCTCCACACGTCCTAGAAGCACAAGAAACATCACTGGAAACCGCAGAGCTAAGCGAAAAGCATGTTTGCACTCAAACAGTTATAGCAGAAATGAACACAATTCAGCATTGTTTTCTCCCACATTTGGCTACATAACCACCGCCATTTGTTTTCTGAAATGCCCAGAAATTCATCTTGATGAGATAGTGGATCCTAAAGGAGTCGATGATAAGTGTTGCAATCACGAATGAGGTATATGAGTAAAAGCTTGAAGGTTGCTGTGTAATGGTAAAAGAGAGACAATTTTTGCTTGTTACGAGTCATTTAGGCTGTATTTGATTGCCGTGCAAATTTATTTTCACTGGTACAAATGCATAGGAGTGCAAATGTAAAAAATGCAAATTCTTAATTTACCTTATTTGTACTGTAATCAAATAAAATAAGATAAAATTTGAAACAAAAATAGGTCAAAATTTACACTCAAATCATTTGCATTGCCATGAATTTGTATTAGCACAAATTTATTTGTAGTACAACCAAACGCAACCTTAAGAGGTATGCTATTGTCATTATTTCCCTTGTCATCTCCCGTTGATGTTCTCTAGTGATTTCTTGTTTATCTGGGTTGTACTATGTGTGGGTAGAATGTTGTTTTTACCTGCTCATGCATATGTTCTCTCTATGTTTTCTAATTACATGATAATCATTTCAATTGTTGACTTCATTATTCATGTTCTCTTAGAATTTTTTTTTTTGTAAGTTTTCTAGTAGGGTGAATCATCAAATGCCTGAAGACGGACATTGATTAGTTAGTTACTCTAATTCTCTCTTCTCCTTTTCCTTTTGATTAGTTTTTTTTTTTTAAATCTAATTTTGTGTGGTTTTAATTAAATTAGTTGGGTGGTATAACACAAATATATTTTATAGTAAACAACTGCATATAGGTTGATTTTGGACATGTCTTCCTTTACATTTGAAAAGAAAAAAAAAATCATTGTTAGAATTACATGAATCGTGCTTTGTTTTCATCTGTTTGGTTTGTAATTGGAATCGAAATGGTCCATTCTCATAATCTCTTCGGTTTAGACAGGAATGGGAATACGAATTAAAATCAGCAGGAATGGGATTTCATTCCCAAAGGAGGGGCAGGGAATGGCCACTCCCTCAAATGGGGGAATGCCATTCCAACAGGAATGGGAATGGGATTTCGGTTCTATCCAACGAAACAATTAAAATCAGAATAGTCCATTCCGATTCTGATTCCAGACCCCTATTCCTGCAAACCAAATGGGCCCTTAGATTGTCTTCATGACTATTGATTTCTTTTCTTTTTTCTTTGTTTGTTTTGATTTCAATCTCCACTAGTAAATAATTGGCCCCACCATATTCTCATTTCTTTCTTCATTTTTTTTCCACTTCTCAACCCAGTGAAATCAGTCCAATCTGTTTCATAGCACAATTTCATTTTGCATA